GGAGGGACAGCGCAGGAGGGGAAGGCCCTCTATGAGGTGGATTGATTCGGTGACTGGGGTTATCAGGATGGGAGTGTCAAAGGCAGTGCGATTGGCACAAGACAGAGCAGAGTTTAGGGCTGTTGTACATAGGATTGCTATGAGTCGCAAGTGACTCGACGGCACATAACAACAACAACAACAACATGGTTTTTATACAATTAATTCCAAACGCATTCCGCTGCATCCTGGTGTTTCCATTTAGAGTATGTTGTACTGCCTTCTACACCCATACAGAAAAAGCTCCTTCTTTCTTTGCTTGGCCGCACACAATTCCATCGTATGGATATACTACAATTTATATTTTCCCCATGAAAACAGTGTTGCAATAAGCAATATTTCCTATCTGGCATTACAATGAACGTGATGTGTGATTGTGGTCAGAGAGTATAATGTTGTTCATAGAAATGAGACTGGAGATCAAATGATTGAATTTTGTAAATTCAATTATTTATCCTCACTTATTCTTTTAAAAAAAAAACCAACCAAACACAAAAGGTAACTTTAACACGGCCCTCACCTGATGTAGTGCACTGAAATCAGATAAACTGTATCTGCAGAAAGAATTGATAGAGAACCTCTGTATCAGCAGTCAAAACCAGGCCAGGCTCTAACCCTGGAACTGATCATCCATTACTCATGTGCAGGTTCAAATTGAAGCTGAAGAAAATGAAAACAAGTCCACATGAACCGAAATATGATCCTGAGTCCACTTAAATTTAAAAATCATCTTAAGCACAGGTTGAGGCACTGAACACCAACGATCAAAGACCAAGGAGCTGTGGGATGACATCAATAATACATATCATCCATATAGAGAGCAAAAGGCCAATACAAGGAGAGAAGACAAAGAAAAGCAAAAATGGATGTCAAGAGGGACTATGAAAATTGCATTAGAGCATCATGAAGCCAAAACAAAGGGAAGAGATGCCAAAGCAAAAGAGCTGAGCAACAGATTTCAAAGGGCAGCTCAAGAAGAGAGCAGCAAAATATTATAATAAAGTGTGCAAAGAGCTAGAGTCAGAGAATAAAATGGGAAGAACTGTCTAGAATTCTCAAGCTGAAATTTGAAAATTTAAATTTGAAAAACAAATTCAAGCCTCCAGTTATAATATGGAGAGATGCTACGGACAAGATCTTAAATGATTCAGGAAGCATCCAAAGACGATGGAAGGAATGACACAGAGTCACTGTACCAAAAACAATCAGTCAACGCTAAAAAAATTCAGAAGATACCATACAAACAAAACCCAATGATAATAAAGGAAGGGGTTCGTAAAATGGTGCAACCCGTGTGGAAAGCAGTATGGCGCTATCTCAAAAAGTTGCAAATAGAGATACCATTTGACCCAGCAATTCCACTACTGGGAATATACCCCGAAGAGACCATAGCTGACATCC